ATAGGGATGAAGTTTATTCATTATCAGTGCAGAGCAGGGGTGGCTAGGCCAAACCCAGCACTTCCAGGAAGGGCAGCTCACACTCTCTAAGCAAGGCTGAGCTAGCCCAGCAAGAAGCTTGTCAAGTTTGGACCTGCATTACACCATGCTCCACCTCTGTATTCAGCAGAAGCGTGGTTGCCATCTGTCTCAGTTCATGTAAAAGAGCTGTCCTCAGGCCCTGGCAGATTGCCACCCTAGCACCTCAGTTGAAGCAACTGGCTTATAGGCCCTATCTTTCCCTTAAAGTCAATCTCTAAGGAAAACTCGCCAGCTGATGGGGCTACACAGTTGTTCCAATACAGAGAGTTCTGGCTCAGATTTTTTTGCTGTGTCTGGATGTTAAAAAAAAAAAAGAAAAAAAAAAAGCTGCCCATATCTCTTACTCCTTTCTTTTCTGTATCGTAAAAATGGCTGTTGTGATCATTCAACTCAGCTTTTGTTACTGGTACCTCCTAAAGGGAAAAGTGCAATATTGCCTCATCTTGAGTACTGGGGAACAGGACTGATTGTTCTGGAAGCAATATAGTGCAACATGTAATATGTCTTAAGTAGATTACAGTAATAATATGTCTGGTAATTTAGGAAACAGTGGTTCCACTACATGTTGCATTATTACAAAATATATTTGCTACAGGAGATATAAATCTTACAGCTGGAATTCAGAGTTTAAAAATGCTAGATTAGGTTCTTGGGTCGTGAATACGAATCGTTACTAATCTTTGTGACTATTTAATCTTCAAATACTGTGCTTCAACCTCAGCAAACTGCACGTATACTGCACCCCACTCCAAAAGAATCATCTGTATTTTAATGCCACTGCTATTGATCCTTTTTTCTGTTAAAACCAATCATGACAGAATTCAAGATTACGAAAGTGTTACAATGCCGCTTCAAGTCTGCAAAACCTCACATGTAGCCAACTTGACAAGTTGTTAAGTGTTACGGTAGATTTAAAATCCATCTGGCACATTGTGGTAGGTATTTGGACAATTCTTTTAGCTATATGTAGCTTTAAATTGTCAATCTGATGAGTTTAAAACACTTCAGCACCCATGCCTTCACTTCAGAATGAACACTTTCATTACGATCTCATGTTAACCTGATAATTGATTGACTTAAAGGAAGATTGATAATTCTACACTTTTGTATAATGTAAAAATACAGGGGCTACAGGAGGGTACCTAATTAGATAGTTCTGCCAACACAGAACACAAACTGGAAAATTTTAAAGCCAATTTTGCTACCTCTCGACTTGATGGATAAGAGGTAGCAGACAAACGCTGGTGCTCCCATCTACCTTGTAGACACCCAGCCATCAAGGATCAAGGCACAAGGGCATTCACTCATTGTTCACAGTAAATGTTTGCAAAATATTCACTTTAACTTTCAGCATTATTAATGTTGTCTAATCCAGATTTCAGTCCTTTCTGAGTTATACAAAATTATTTTTTTTACATTTCTGAGCATATTAAAATCCTATTGGATTTCAAAGAGGGACTGATAATTGACTTACTATACAAATATCAACTTGTAATACTCAGAATTTTTGCCATTTACACTTTACCTTTTGCTTTAGTGGATATATATATATTTCATTTTTTTAAAGGCACCATTACATGGTCAGTCCTACCTACATTGATCACATTTCTTAAAGTAATATTCTATGACTCATTTCTATGTATTTTTCTTACTTTACAAAATAACTTGAAACAGTATAGATTTTGTAACACTTAATTTGAGCTGCTTTTTTATTACATTGAATTATATAAAGTGCATGTTACCTTAGAAAAAATTAATATTTGCTGCTTTACTCTTTTGCAAAACATTTGCTGTAATGAAGGAATTTATATTTCCAATATGTATCTTGACTGCATTTTGTAATATTTACTGCTTTATTCCTAATTCTGCTTTAAAGTATTGAACTGGGCATGAAACATTAAAATATTAATCTGGAACCTGTATAAACTGGATATTGCTTAAAATCTGTATCACTGCCATGTTGGAAACCCAGATTGCTTTTGTGATGTTTCAAATTAATAAAATTATCCTCCTCCTTACCACTTTCATGTGTCCTGATGGCATTTACAAAAGTAAAACAAATGCTCCACAGCAACTGACAGCAGCTGACTTACTTTTGACTATATGGTTCAAGACAGGATGGAGTGTGATTAACCAACATATACAACCTAGTGGGAAATACTGCCATGCTGTCATCAGAAATAAAACTCAGTCTCCTGCTACAAAAATTGAAAAACAATACAATATAAAAGTATATATACTTTCTGAATGATAATCTTATTTTTTAAAAAAAGATGCACTCAAAAATGAGAATTAAAACATTTTATTTTCGCCATAAGAAGCCCTACGAACTAATATCAGATAATGGTTAATGAAAAGTAGAACTTAAGAAGTCACGTTAGGGAAGATTGTATAAGTATAAGCATCACAGTATTGGGAGAAATGAACAAGGTTTCATGTGACTGACAGAGGCGAAGAAGCCAGTGCTGTTGAATTAGCATTTAATTCTTTAGAATATGCATGCCTTGACAATACAAAATACTTCAATCAATGTTAACCATTTATCTTTTTTGGTACAACGGAAAAATGTGGCATCATTTCTTCAGGGTGGTATGTGGGGGATTATTACCACCGAAATTATAATAATCATTTAAAATATATCTTAAAGTTAGTCTTGCAAGATTGCTATGATCTTTTAGTAGTTCTGCTTAGTTAAGAGTTCTTTTAATTTTGTCATTTTGTTTAGCAAATTACTAATTCAAACAATTCCTATCCAGAATATTTACAGGTCATTTAGCATAGAAGCAAATTTGAAAGCCAACTTGAAAGAAAATTTTAAAAAAGCAAGTTCAATAGCCAAAAAGCTAAGTAGAAAGTAGAAAACCCCCCAATAAATTTTAAACAGCATCTTGCTAAGATTTCCAATCTGATAAATACCAGGAATAAAGAGTATTCACCCAAAAGAGTATTTCATATGAACTCTGAGCTTTGGATATGGAAACATCCAGAAAAACTGAAGACCCTGAGACACATGCAAGGAAGAGTCTTCTGGCAAAAATACAATTTAATTTTCCAGTTGTCCACCTCCCAACAAACTCCAGAAGACACCTTTAGTAGGCAGAGAGTTTAACATATTCAGAATTTACACAGAGCACAGCAGCAGCAAATAATTATATCCATATTATTCAGAATGGATAGTTTTCTATTATAGAATTGCTGGTTTGTCATAATAAGCTTGCAGAAATGACCAAGTTTTATTATGACAAACTAATTTATCTAGCAGTTGAATCTGAAAGGTCTGGAAGCTCTGCTGGCATCAGTATTATTAACATTGGTAGAATAATTATGTCTAACTGGTGAAATAGCATTAATGAAACTCAAACAAATTCCACTGAGAACATGTCAGACTGCACCTTATAGTCAAAGAGTAACGCTATCTATATCTACACAGTAAGGAAACAGATATTTTGAATCCAGAGATCACAGAATCTTAAGTTATAAGGTAATTTAAAATTTTCCAAGGGTTAATTTACAAAATGGTTTGAAGGTCTAGACTCACTGAACAGAAAACAGATAAAAATATATCACTCTACCCCTTGGTAAGCAAAGGGTTTTCTTTTTCCTTGTATTATTACAAATACTGATGCCTGATACCCTCAGCTACCAACATAAAAAAAAAAAAAACACTAAAACCATTATCTTCAAATCTAGTTTACCATCAGAAGAATGATGTATACATGAGAAATTATGATTAAAGCTTTAAGTTCAAAGTCAAGAAGTAGACTATTTTTAAAAATACATGGTAAGGAGAAAGAAGGTATCTACGCTGAACTAAGAAATATTTAAGCAAGGTTACAAATGACTAATAACTATGCACAACGATCTTTTTCAGTATCTATTAATTCTTTCCTTTGCAAAAAAAAATCATTTACAGAAGTTCAACAAGTTAATTCACTTATAAATGCTAGGCTATGTATTGTTCCAACCTGCTTTCTTTAGTAACTCACGCTTCAGTAAGTTTTAATGTTATTTTCTAAGTGTTTAAATATATGTCATTTTAAAAGGAAGGTAATATTTATTGTTGTCAAGATAAATGGGAATTGATGAGCCTATATAACATTCCTATAATTTCTGATTGCTATAAAATTGCAACAATTTGCAGATTGAATGGAACTTATTTCAGAAGGGGTCAAAACCTAAAAGATCTTACTGAAAGGAAAATATTAGATCACTGATTCAACTATTTTAAATGAAAATTTTCTATTGGAGATTCTAAGAAATATGAACATTTTAAAATATATGCCGGTAGCCTCCTCCTCCCAAAATATGTAGGAGTCTCTTCCGTGGAATCTATCATTTACAAAGATTTATACATAAAGATTCATTTGGTGGCTTTCAGTCAAAATTTGAAAAATTTCACAGGAATATTTTTAACCATAATGAGTAAAAATGAAATCTCCATTCAATCCCATTCTCTGCCTCTAGCATGTAAGAGCACAGAACTAAAAATAATTGCAACAGAACTTATCTCCTCCTGTCTGCATCATGGAGATTTGCTTTTCTCTCCCCAACCCCCACAGAGACCACACTGCAAAAGCACACAGTGGTCTAGCCACCAAAGTCTTTTTCAGACTATGGCGATAAAAGCAAGGATTAATTCTAATTAGCTAAAACTAATTCTTTTCTTTAGATGAGAAACTTGTCTGCATGGCTATCTTCTTGGGGGAAGAGGTTGCAATCCATCTGGACTAACAGAATATACAACCAAGCGGAGACTTATCCTGAAATTTTCCAGAACAACTTTAGAAGTTCTTGTTTACGTTTTATGCCATATACAAGACACAACACACATTTATAGTCTCAATGTTAAGAAAATTGAGAATTTAGCAGTAAAGTGCTAACATGGAAGGGGAAAATTGTAAGATGTACTAGGGTATGCTAGTAACTCCAGTTATTTTCAAAGAACATTCAGACTGCTTCAAAATTCTATTCAGAAAACTATCTCTCCAAGCATTTTTGTCTCTTTAAAATGAGCTGAAAGCTAACTATATAAACAGATACATGGGTGGGGGGACTTCTCACTTTCTACTCAAACTCTCAGAAAACTTTGCTTCTAAAAATCATCAACAAATAATCCAACTAGACTACCTTCAGATTATGTAGCAGATCAAATTAACTTGTTTTCACCTTAATTTGTTTTACAGGTCTTCTGAAACCCCTGCCCCTTAATCCAAACCAAAACTTTCTGATATTTCAAAGGAATTCAGTAAGATTCTGGTATTATAAATTCAAACTCAGTACTGCCATCTGTTACATTCTGTTTAAAAATGGAATCATTTTCCTGCTGAATAAAAATATCTTCCCAGGTCATTGGCTTGTTTTGAGGAGTAGATGTGGTCCCCACTGGAGGTTCTTTTCCAGCATCGACCTTATACCCAATACCATCATCCTTCATTACAGGCATAGTGCTTGACCTATCAGAAAGATAAGCATATTGTCTGATCTGTAAAGACCTGCAAGGATGTAAACGATAAAGCTTCGCGTCTCCAGAAGGATCTTGACTATGAACTGACTTTATATGTGAAGACATAAACTGATAGTTGATGAAAGATTTGCCACAGGCCAAACATTGATACCTTCGCTCCCCTGTGTGATGAATTTCATGCTTTGTGCGATATTCTGCAAGAGGAAACACCTTCTCACAATAACGGCATGGATACTTCTTCTCCCAAGAATGAATGTTAAAATGTCTCCGCAAGCTTGTCAGACAGACATACGACCTTTTGCACACGATACATATATAATAGACCCTTCCATCTACTATTAACTCATAGTGATCATCATGTTTTACTTTCATACGTTTATTTGCCGTCTCACTACCAGATGTTTTTGGTATCTCATTCTCAAGTCTGGCTTCCCCTTCATCAGGGTCATCTTTGACAGGGATCACTATGTCATAAGTATCTTCACCAATATTTGCATAAACTTTGCAACCAGTTGACAAGCCTTCGATTTCAGTAGCTGTATCTAAAGTTATGATCTTCTGGCCCTCCGTTAGATGTTTTGATCCTAAGCCTGGGTCATTAGTGTTTCTAGTAATTACATCTGAAATTTTTAAAGAATTGGAAAGTGGTTCTTGCAGAAGTGTAGGAATTTGCATCTTCTGTACCAATGATCCATCAAAAGTGGTATTTTGGGAGGTATCAGCCTGTGGGACCAAAGATGTATTACTGACTGCTGAGTCTGGACTGGAACTAATAGTGTCATCATCATCATCTATAATTTCCTCCTCCTCCTCTTCACTGGCCTTGTTTTCTGTTAAAGCATCACTGTTTGGTGTCTGCTGATTCTGCACAAGTAAACTGATTGAAGAGGACATATGATTTGGAAGTGAAGAACTGACATTTGGTGGTGTAAGTGGTGTCTGATTTAACAAAATAATGTTGGGAGTCAGATGTGTTGGAGCTGAAGATACCAGCAATTTTTCACTTCCTTGAGTTTGGCTTAGAGTTGCCTGATTCACAGGAGTAGGAAGTTTTTGAGTAGGTGTTATATTTGTTAAAGGGGGAGAGTTAGTGCTAGCACAAGGTGCAACATCTGAAATAGCAACAGGACTAGCATTAGGCTGGACCTGTGCCACTGCATTGTTACTCGGCAAAGTCTCCTTTGCAGGCAGAATCTCAGAGCAGAAAATGACATCATCGTCATCATCATCATCATCATCTGAATCAGTAACAATGATCTTTTTCATTTCATAATCTTCAGCAGATAATGAAAAAGACTCTGTTATGATAGGCATTATAGTAGCCCCATTATCTTGGGCTTCATCTTTTGACTTTTGTATTACAAGGTCCTTGTCACTAGAACCAGGAGGTAAGGTTTCAGCATTACCATCCTGAGCTGTACCTGAGATGCTTTTAACCTGTGACAATGGTACACCAAGCTCTGCTATAAATTTCACTCCTAATAACTGCCCTGATTTAATTAACTCATCAAGTAAATCTGATCTAACACGGACAATTTTAGAACTATAGATATAATTGAGAATTTCTGCAAAGATCTCTGCTCTTATAAAGCTCAGTTCAACAACTTGCCCGGCAACTGAGAAGAGCTGATGGAAGTATGTACTAGAAGCTGAAAGAATATTCCTGTGGGCTCGAAATTTTCGGTCTTCCACAATAACAGTAACATCACAGAAGAGTCCGTGGCCACGTTGTTCATTCAAGGAGTTCAGCAGACTGCCAGAATATTGAATGTCTGTAGCAGAAATCAGTTTTCTACTCTCCATGCCTATAAGACAAAGGAAAAAAAGGAGGGGATGGGAGAGAATTAAGGAGGGGAAAAAATGCTATATCATTCACAATTTAAGCCATGGTTTATTGAAGTTTTAACTCAAGCTTGGCATAATGCTTTCACTTTTATATGAAGTGTTCATAGGCTGGCTTTGGACCATGTGGCAAACCTTATGACTTCCTCCTGAGGAGAGTCAAGCTTGTTTTAAAATGCCGTACATATTTGAACAATAATCTCTATAGTCACTTTCTTTTATATCACAGATACATGCATTTCCACTAAGCAATTTTTCTTTAAAAAACAGATACATGCATTTCCACTAAGCAATTTTTAAAGATTAGAATTAATTTTCTTAGACCCAATTCTGAGTTTTCTCCTCAAGAAGAGGTAAGTTCATTTTTAGCTGTCTTAAAAATTTTTTAAGGAAAATCTTCATCATGAACACACAGGAGTTATTTATTCTGTAAATGAATGATTTAAATATCAGAAAAACTTGGTGTGTGCAATACTAATCCTAAAATATGTTCTTCCTAAATTTTAACTAATCTTCTCTTTAAAAATGTATTCCAAAGGTACTCCCTTGCAGCCAATGACATTTATAAACACTGACACTTATTACCTCTCAACATCCCATTATTTTTGTTATTTAAGTTTGGGTATCTCACCTTGACAAACATTGCTGTGTACCATCCCCAAAATACTTTTTTTCTGTACTTCAGAGAAGATATTCCCAGTAGCAATGATGCTGTTAAATTTTTTTTTTTTTAAAAAGAGCAAAAAAAAAAAATCCCACCCCATATACAGTCATGCACCACATAAACATGTTTTGGCCAACAATGGACCATGTCCCATGCACCACATAAACACGTTTTGGCCAACAATGGACCATGTCCGCAACAGTGGTCCTATAAAAATTCCTGTTGCCTAGTGATGCTGTAGCTGTCATGACATTTCAGCTCAACACAGGATTCACATATTTCTGGTGATGCTGGCATAAAAGAAACCTACCCTTGCTGCCAGTTATATAAAAGTATAGCAATACAATTATGTACATTAGATAACACTTGATGGTAATAATAAATGACCATGTAACTCGTTTTATATTTACTATACTGTCTATCATTTAGAACATACTCCTTCTACATATTAAAGTTTACTGTATAACACTGTGCCATGTTATACCGGCAGCAGTCTCACCCATCTTCTATTTACCAAGTCTCTTGATTGCATCATTTTCTCCCGCGTATGGTTTACTCTCATGTTCTTTTGTTCATCATGGCCCTGCTAGTGGGACAAGATGTAGAGATGGAAGACAGTGATACTGATGATCTTGACCCTGTGTAGGCCCAGGTTAATGTGCATTGCTTTTTAAACAAAAAAAGTGTAAAAAGTAAAAGATTTAAAAACAGAAAAGTGCTTATGGGGTAAGACAAACATATTTTTGCACAGGTGAACAATGTATTTGTGCTTTAAGCTAAGTGTTATAATAAGAGCCAAAAAGTTAGAAAATGAGAAAGTTTATAAATATGTTATAGTAGGCAAAGGTTAATTTTTACTGAAGATACTTTTTTTTTATATAAATTGAATGTAGCCTAAGTGTAGGTGTTTATAAGACCTACAGCAGTGCAAAATCGACAGTAACGCCCTAGACCCTTGCCTTCCTCACCAACTCACCTAGAGCAACTTCAAGTCCTACAAGCCCCATTCATGTGTACCATTTTTTATTTTATACTGTATTTTACTGTACTTTTTCTATGTGTAAATAAATTTCGAATACACAAATACTTACATCATGTGACAACCGCCTGCAATATTCAGCACAGTTACATGCTGTTCAACTCTGTAGCCCCACAGACAGTGGGCTATATATACCCCATATAGCCTCAGTGTGTAGTAGGCTATACCCTCTAAGTGTGTGTAAGTACATTCTATCATATTTGCACAACGATAAAATCGTCCAATGATGCATTTCTCAGAACCCAGCACCTGTTGTTAACTGATACATGACTGCGTATTAAAAATGTATAGGTATAATATTCTTATGTATATATGGGTATTTTATGGATATTACATATTAACAATTAGTTGATAAGCACCTTAGTGAAGAGATGCTTTTTAAAATTAATATTCTTGCCCTTTAAAGTTACGAGAAGAGTATCACTGTCACAGTCCTTAAGTTATGTACACAGGGAAGGCAGGACATCTCAAATATCTTTTTAATTTTTCGGATGATAGCTTAAGTAGGCAACAAGTCTAGAAATCTGGGTTTAAAATCTCATCAGTTAGAAGGTGTTGCATGTTAACAGTAGCGAGGAATTCCAGGTTGCCATGAAGGCATTCATTAGAAGGGGGTGACCTTTGGACAGCGTGTCAACAACCAGGGTTTCCGAAATAAAAGGGATTTCGACAGAAGACACTTTTCAGTGGACAGGTTTTCTGAATACGGTCCCACAATTTTTGTCGTTTGCAAATGGGTTTTTCCAGTGTGGGAATGCGTCAAATGTACGTGTCCCGGTGACGCTGGGACTTGGTTTCCGTTTTGTTTAGGTATCTCTCTCTCCTCCCCCTCAGGGTGGGCCCAGGGATAGCACGGGGTGAGCCCACCCCCAAGATCTGTGACCCGACTATGGAAAGGCCGTTGCCCATCATCATGAGGCAAATCCTTGACTGAGGCCAGGTCCCGAGGGGCTGGCGACGGGGGAGAAGAGATAAAAGCCTTCCGCGAGGGAGTGAAACAAACCGACACGCGGCTCCCTGCGGCAGCTGAACTCCATCCCCCTTCCTCCAACCTCCCTCTTCCCCGCCTGCACCCTGCCAGCTGCAACCGAGGTTTTTAACCCCAATTCCCGTGAAAAGCCGGCTCCTTGCCAATACAGATGGAGGTATGAAGCGCAGAGCGAGGGTGGGAGAAAGAATGGGTGCCAGGGAAAGTAGAAGGTGGCGAACAGTAGGGTGGGGTGTTTGGGGTGGGGGGTGGGGGAACCAGGCGAGGCAGGCGGCATTGTTATGCCCCGGGAAAGGGACGGGAGGGGAGGATGGGCCCGGCAGAAAAGCTCTAAATCAAAGTGGGAGCTAGGACCAGAAAAAGGGGCCAAAAAGCAAGCCGAGGGGACAAGGGCAAAGCCAAGTGGGTCTCCGTGGTGCCCGGGCCTACCCAGGGCTCTGGCAGCCCCTCGGCTCCTGACGCGAAGGGGACCGCGCTGCGGCCC